ATCACGAAATGTTGTTTTTTTCTTCAAAACTACAATGTCATTTTTAAGTCTAGTTTCTTCGAAAAGATGCAACAGATTGCATTTGTACATCGAGTTCCAGCATCTTTTATTGTCTATCATAGTGAAGTTGTGAGCTGATGTTGAAAGAATGATTTGTTTATTAAAGAAAAAAAAGAAAAAGAAATCTATGCACATCGATCATATTGAATATATCATTACTGTTGCAGTCGATTTACCATGACATATTTGAAGGCTACATAGAATTTGTTTTTTTGTTGAAGTAACAGTATTAGGTATTATGATTGTTTTGTTAATGGCTATGATAGTTTTTGGATTATGAAATATGATATGCCGGATGGCTCAAAAGTCACTTTATCACCACAAAAACTGAAAACCTGTATTATATTTTGACTAAATTGACTTATCTTTTATCGATGATACAAGAAGTATTCATAGATCAAATTCGTAGGAGAAACATTGACAAAAACACTGCTTTGAAGTATCTTCGTTGACTGAATAAGAACTATAACCTTTCACGAGTTATAAACAAATCATATTGCAGTTTTCTCAACAAATTCTTAATGCTTATGGCTGAAGATTTCAGGATACAATGAGTAACAAGACATGTATCTCCGATATAAATTTCAGCTCATATGAAAATAGTCTAGAGAATTAATTGAAAAAAAAATATGCCTGATTTATTTTTGATCAGAAGAAATAATTATATTGTGTTTTTTCATAGCTCGTAAAAGGTTATATTTCTTATTTAGTCAACGAAGATACTTCAAAGCAATGTTTTTGTTAATATTTTTCTTATGAATATGACCTATCAACACTCCTTTATCACGGATAAAGTAATCAGGCCATTTCGTCAAAATATAACAGAGATTTTCAGTTTTCTTCTTCTTTGATAAAATAACTTGTGAACCACTCTTTATTATTTTTATTCAATATAATTTTATCAACTTGCTTTATTAATAATAATTATTGGGAGTTTTAAACCTCTGTTACTTCTTCACATAAATAATAATTACATATGAGACTAGTAAAAAGCTAATAAATAAATCAGAACAAGATTGAATTATAAATCGAAAGAAAAGAATGAGAGAAACGGAAAAGAAGATATCACAAAAAAAAAGATTTAAGCAACAGTTTCAATTTATTGACGGAATATTCAATGATCATTGTTGGTGTTTTTTTCGCTTCTTATTGATTAACTCACTACCACTAACATTTTCCAATTTGAATACCCATGCCCAATCACTTGCAAGTGAATAGATTTTAATATTAGATACATCAATGATAATACCACCACTTTCACTAGCTGAACGCCAATTTAATGGACCAAC